AAACTAAAATTTTTTAATAATTCTATTTTTACTTTATCCATCTTTTCACAGTTCCTAGGTAATCAGAAGCTAGCAACACGGGTGTTTTCATTTTACTCTTTTTATACTGAAATTAAAACTGATTTATATTATTTGGCTGTATCACTTTTCAATATTTTTCCAACCTAACTTCTTTAGACATTAGCATTATAGAAAAACTGACTGCCTTTAAAAAAGGCAGAAAAATTGAACTGAGGAAGGCTACTGATGCAATAAATTAGTATGTCCTTAGTTAAACTACAGTGTCCTACCAATGTACTCCTACAGGCTCTGATCCAAAGCCCACTGACTTCAAGTTAGGTTTGGGTCAGATCGACTAATAAAATAACTTAATTCAGTAGTGTCAAATGAAATCTAAGATGTATAATTTCATTAGAAAACACTCCCAAGTAACACTGTGAATAATGTTGGTGACTTCTTCATAGCTCATACAGATTCTTAGTTCCGTAAACTATTATTAAAAAGTCTGGAACTTATAGTTTTTGCCAACCATATTGTCACAGCTTCATTGAGCAGCTGTCAACTGTTAGAAAATAACTGCATCATCATCCCTTTTAGAAGAACTAATGTGAGAAGTGAAACACTCAAATGGGATCTAAAGTTTCTGGAGTCATGGTAATGAATCTGTTTTCATCAGGTGACCATGAGTCATCATTTTATCAGCAGTTTAAAGGGTTTTCACAATAGTTGAGCGTCATCAGTGCTCATGCTTAGCAATGACTGCAGCAGAATACTGAAATAGGGTGCCATGTCCTGTGGTACCATCGTTTAAGGAAAAGTTTGGCTATTGAGTCAAGAAAAATACTGCAAAGTCACGGTTGAATAAGTGCTGCAGTGAACACAAAATGTCCAGAAACTAAGCCTCTATTTGAGAACTGAAACCAAGCAATAATTTTGCTTTTAAAAATAGACTCCCTTTAAGGAAGTAGCGAACCACATGGATGAAACATAAGGAAAAAATAAAAATGGGTTGTCAGTCTCTCTTCTCCCTTTTACTCCACAGTCTAGTCAGAACACACTCATGTACCAAATCCTCAGATAACTTCCACACATCAGAATCCAGTTACGTTGTCTGGGGTGGGGAGAGACCACATGAAACGAGATAAAAATTTTTATATTAAATTTTCACGATACTAACATCAAGAGCAAAAACTGCATCACCGCATCGTTAAACTGTTTATGTATGACATTATCAGGTACTATATGAAACATGGATCCCTTTACCTCCCAGCCTACTAACCTCCATCTGAACTCACTGGAAAGAATTGAAGAATTTCACCTACAGCAGAAGCTGAAGTCTCTCCCAGGACCTAAAGACATTCAGTGACCCTATGCAGCATCTCTGCTAAGCCCCGATGTTTTGCTGGACTCTGAGAGACTGAAGTCTGCTAAGTTTCCCATCCCTTCCTCATTGCTGGACTCGGAGGGGTCGAGCAGGCAGTACCACCAAGATCTCCAAGAAGCAGAACAGGGGAGGTGTAAAATATGGTAGCACTGGTCAGAAATAAGGCACTTGACAATTATCATGGAAGTTACACCTTTGAATTAATTATGTCTAAAAAAAAAATTAGTATCACTTAGTATGGTGTATATTTAAAATCCCACACCACAGTTACCATAGTATAGTGCTCACAATTTGCAAAAGCCTCGTTTTCTGTCACAACTGCAACTTTCAAAACTAATCTGTTTAATTTATTTGATTGCCCAAAAAAAAGTAATGCAAGTTGAACCATTCTTTTATTCTGTATTTGAAGTGATCCCTGTGAAAGCAGCATTTCCACTATTGATGTTTAGCCCTCTGGCTTCCTATTCCTTTCTCCTTCTGCTAACACTTTAATCGCTCAACTCTTCATCCACTCATCATTTCCCTAGGCTTGAAAATTAATCCTCTGAGGTCAGTGAGGAAACTTCCATTGACTCCAGGAGGTTTAGAATTAGACCATACACTTAATTTTCCACCCGCCTCTACCTCCCAACTTCCTCTTTTCTTTCTTCTGGAACTTATTTACTCATCACTTGAGTCATTCTATATCTGGTCCCATGAAATTGGGAATGAGATGCAGAGTTAAGAAATAAAACTAAATAGTTGTCTCAACATCTATTATTATTGTTTTCTACTTCCTACTTTAAATCACATTTTCCCCCATGTCCTTTGTTATCTTCTTGAGAGATTTAAGCCCTTTCAGACAAGTATCATATTTTATTAATTTGTATAGAAATGGACATTACAGCTGAGTGGAGCATGTGATGCTACTTGACAATAATAATTCCAACCACCAGCATTTATTATAGTTGTTGCAAGCAATGTTGCTTTAGGAGAACACCATCCCTAGAAAACCACTATTCACTGGTTACTATATCTATTTCTTAATTTGTAAAGACCCAAAAAACAAATATAATAACATCCAGTATATGTAAAACTCAACAACCTTTGATCAGTTTGGAGAGCTTTTACAAATTCTATCTGATCACATAAAACTTAAATCTTACTGTATTTCTATTGAAACATTTTTAAGTACTTCAACTACAGGAATTTCACATACAAACGTCTTAGTTTTGCAATGGGGAAAAAGAAACAGACATCAGAAAATACGGTATTTACTAGTTATTTTAATTAAGCACTTTAAAAAAACCCTAGCTCTCAAACTACAAATCAGTATGCTAAACAGTTCAAAACTTTATACGTAAAAAAAGCATCTGTAGTATCAGTCTAGTAACTCTGAGCAGTCACAACATACATAAAAAATATTTTAAACACAAACGGTATTCCTTATTTGTACTCTCCACCTGAGAGCACTGCATTCATATATCTATGGACCTGATGTAGCAGTAAAATGTATTTACTATTCTCCATTACTCATTATATGGAATCAGAGAAAAAATTTTAAATTAGGTAAGAAAACCTACTCATCTTCCTGTTTTTTCCTCTCCAAACAACTTGCAAGACACACTACTTTCTCACAGAGCAAAACATTTACAGATATATTGATCAGGTAATTCAATGAACACACTTCAGACGTGAACTTTAATCTGTCTTGCCCACTCAGATGTCACCTAAGAATCATTCAAAGAGACATATCTGATACAGAAATCTTTGTTGACTTACTATCACTGTATAACATTTCAACTGGTAGCTAAAAAAAAATGAAAGTACTGTAATGATACGGTGAATCTTTAGCATTAGAAATCTGTTAACATATTTGCACACACATGGAAATATCAAAAAAAGGCCCCTTCAAAATAAACTGCTTATTTTCTACAGTTGTACTGTAATTTTTCTGTCCAATTATTTCTATTATTTCCAACTTTGTTCCCAGTACAAAACAGAAAAGTATGCTCACTCCTTCAAACAAACTTAAAACTTTTTGCTTGCTTTAAATTGAAAGTGAAGGACCAAAAAGTTCCAAATGTACTTCCAACATGCAATAATTTAAATTGATAACAAGGAACACTGTTGAAAAATTGTTTGCAGAGTGTGCTGGACGATCACAAGGAACTTTGAAATTATAATTACCTTAATCTAAGATATGTACGAGCAAAGGCCTACAAATCTGAGACAGAACACAGGATGTTATCAACATAGGAAATGGCAAAGTAAAAAAAGCTTCCCTTTGAGTTGAGCTATTGAAGTATACTAACAACTTAAAGTCTTTAGTGTTTGGCAAATGAACAAATTGCAGAAAACAGTAAATGAAATTCTTCTATTACAGCCATAAAAATTACTGTATTTAGTTCTGCAGTTTGGCATGAATAAAGTCAATTTACACAATTCTGGAAGAGCAATTCTTTCTAGTTTGTCCAAAGTTTTAAACAAGGCCCTAGTGATATTATTTTCCAAATCCACACAGAGTTCATGATTTTGCTTTAAGCCTCACCAATTAAAGTTAAGACTTATTTCTCAAAACAGCAATAAAATATTTTAGCAACACACAGAGAAAGCTTAATTAAATTCATATGTCTTATTTTCCAGATCTGGGGGTATTCTACCATGCAGCGCTTTATGAAGTATCAATATTTCCTAAAATTGAAAATTGCTGATCAAATTAACTTGCATAAAATATCATCTATTCCACGTCACAACACTATGGCATCCAGCCACTTGGCAAGTGAAGAAAGTGTGTTTAGGACATAACTGTAGTTTTTGTATTAAGGTTTAAAGCTATTTTACTGCATCAATTATTTTATTTCAATCGCTCTTAATTGCCCATAAAACCAAGCTTAGGATCGCCTTTCAAAAATAGGCCAACTACTCCCTCTACTGAAAATAACTGACCATTACACTAGAGGTACAAAGATTCTCCTATAAAATGTGTTGTTAAGAAGCAAAGCCATTTAACATATTATAGGCCTTTTTCTCTTAATTATGTTCCAGTCAGCTGAGACCTGAATAAGCTGTACTTTTTGCTCTCTTACCGAAAAGATTAGCATACACATGCTTACAAAATCTGAACACTTAAAAGTGGGGAATGAACAAGACAAGGCATTGCATGAAACCTTTTCAGACTCAGTATATTACTCCCATAAATTTCAAACATGAGGAACCTTCAAGTAAGAATATAGTATTTTCTATACTCCCCCTGCAGAAAGGGGTGAGAATATTTTTTGCCTTTTAATGGACAACCTTTTGCACAGGGATCTTCCTTGACAAATTTATGTGAAAGTTGAACAGTCTTTAAAAAGGGAATATTCGCATTAAATACAAATCCAGTGAATGTAAAACAGCAAAAATTCACACACAAAATCCCCAATCTAACAAGTAAAACGTTATACATCTGTGCATAAAGTGAATTCCAATCAGCTTTTCACATATTTACATTATATATTCGATACGTTTCAGTCAAGGCAAAGGTTTACATTTAGTACATGCAAAAACGTATCCTCATTTCTCAAATACTATCAGAAAGAAAATAAATTTGTATCTTATTGGTACTCTCTAAAGTTCTATCTGTGATATTGCTTACCTACAAACGCATGCTCAGTGAGAATCTATCCATTTGCTCAGGTAGTCAGTGATGTTAAAAGTATTTAATGATTTCCAGGGTACATGCTGAGTACCAGTGAAGTGTCTATGCTGAATCAGCAAGCTGTAATAATGCAGGTCAGTCATCTTGGGGCTTTTTATCTAGTGAAGATATTTCAACTCATACCACTTGTTTGTTTTCTTGGGCACTTACGTTAATATTGACAATATCAATAGCTCCCAGCCGAGAAAAACAATGCTTTCAGCCTCAGCTCCTGTTGCTCACATCAGTGGGATACAGACTCAGAGTATCAGATAAAATGTGCTCAGAATCAAAGGTATTTCTCCTAATTCCTATATCAATTCAGAAGCAGTGAATAGTATAGACACGACACCATCAATTTAAGGTTAACGATCATGTTAAACCATGAAAAAATTAAAGCAAACATCCCACTAAATGAGAGCAGTTTTCCTTGAAAAAGAACACATAGCACAGAAAAATTAAGTGATTGGTCAGCTTCTTGAACAGGTTGGTTACCTGCAAAACCCAGCTTCGACAGCTTCCACAGCCTGACCAGTCAGGAAGGTTTTTGGAGCTACACTACAAAAAACCCAGAGAGGAAAAAGTCTCTTCTGTTAAGAAAAATCCTGGAAAAAACATTTCTGAGAGAATAATATATATATTGTCTAAATCATTTCAAAATATCTGCATTACCTAAACTACCCTAGACATACAGGAACACAGAAATAAGAGAGAAGGTGTCACAATTTTTACTGAACAAATAGCTTTATTTATTGATAAACTGATACAGTTACAGTAGAATTATGAAGCGCTATGTTTATTAAAGAACATTTTGAAAAACATTACTCCAGAGACTGTTTGCAAAATAAGCTGCAGTGGCATTTTACTGGATGTAAGACAACTAATCCTTGAAAATGGGAGAAGAGGCAAAAAAAAAAAAATGCAAAGGAAGAGTCAGGTGCGATAAGAACATTGTTACACCTTAAACCAGGAACTCTTAGATTATCTGGGAAGTGAACAAATACTATTTTAAGGTTACAGTAAGAGAAATATCAACCCTAAATTTATTTCAGGTAAAAAATACTGTTCTACTGAGAATCCATACAGTTTCTAATTCAAACTATACAACTAATCACTTTTAGTTACATAATTTTAATCTTCAACTGACCTCAGACACGCTCTTGCACAATACAGCAGCAATTCAAGAAGTTTGCTTCCAAAGAGAGAAAAGCTGATACAAAATATGCTACTATGTCCAGAAGCCTGAAGGATACACCTCTTCACCATTAACTTTTAAAAATGAACATACAAACATACAGATTGAATTTTTTTAAAAAATGAAAGCTATGTCATTCTACTTACCTTAATGACAAATTTGTTGGATGCCATGATAAGTCAGTGCAAACTGGTCCTATAAAAATATTAAAAGTGATCAGCACTAGAGGAAAAATTCAGATCTCTATGCCAACTGAGAGGATTTTTAAAATCTATTACCCATTTTTTTCATTACTGCTGGTCTTTAAACCTTATACTCTACTTTAAGAAAACCAATGAAAACTCTTATTTAAAGCAGATTTACTTAGCTACCTGTGTTGGTTTCTTTTAGTGAACCTCCTAACTGTTTAGGCACGTAGAATACGACACTTGAAATACAAAATTAGAACCGTTTTTCAGACTACTACCAAGACAGAGACAAACCCACCTAAATGATCTTCAGGAAGCCTTCCAGAGAGCAGCAAACTAAACTTGGAATATTCCTTTACTACTGCCTCAACTACCAGTCCCTATATACACAGCCCATAGACTTGTTTCTCTTTCAAAATAATAGCTTCACATAAAATCCCTTCACATAGCCTAAAGAAAGAAAGAATGAAGAGGGAAGTAAACACAAAAAAATTTAAAAAGGGACTGTTTTCAAGAGAAAACAATCTTGATACATGAGTAGTACCTGCTCTAGTCAAGAAAGTCCTCAAACCTCTCTAAGTTCATCCCTTCCTACCTTGTGGATACTCCATTTCTACTTAGCTAGAGAGCCCACAACAGCATTATAGCAATAACATTCTCCATCATGCTCTCTTAACAGGGGTTCAGCAACACTAAGCAGATTTCAAAATTTCTTTTCAGACCAAGCAAGCAGGAAGCAAACTTCAGAATTGAGATACCTATTCAGTACCTGCAGTTGGTAATCAGTAGTATCAGAGTTTAAACCAGCTCAAGAACAAAGCACAGTCACTTTTTTTTTTTTTTAATAAGAAGCTATGGCTTCTCGTACACACAGTATGCATATGTATACACACATATTACATATATTTAAAACTTTAGACTACTACAGGCATAAAGCAATGTGACCTGAGCATTATTGTGGCTGCATAAAAGTAAAGTGAACTCTGGATATCCTCTTCTCTTGCTTACCCCAAACAGGATTTAGATTGCTTAACTTGGGATACCGAGTGAAATACATTTAGCTGCAGAGACTCTGACTCTGGCTCAGGTAACTCAGGAAGCATTAATTCATGATGAAGTTAAATGTACCCTCCCTTGGGTGCAAGACAAAACCTTCAACTAACTGCTAAGATTCCCCCCACCCCTTGGAAGAACACTGTATCTCACTCCAATGACTACAGGCTTCAAGTTGGCTTGCAAGCAAACCACACATCTAGTCGCCTTCCACACTGATTTCAGTTTAATTGCCACCACCTTTTTTTTTTTTTCCCAAACTGACAACAATTACAGTCACATTACTGAAACTACTGGGGAAGTTCATAGTTTTCCACACAAATGGGAGTTAAACATTCACTTGTCAAAAGGTAGAAAATTAGGTTAAATTCATAAATGTTTTTCCAGCTAACCTCACAATGCTGGGATTCAGAAGTGACATGGAATGGGCTCTATGGTACCAAGTATTTATCTAATCTCTACAAAAACCTGGGAATAAGAAAAACCTAACATACATTCTGTTTTCACATAGGATAGGAACAGAGGCAGCAGACAAGAAAGAGACTTGGATTGGACAGAGAGCCAGGTGAACAAGGTTCTCAATAAACTGGTAGAAGAGAGTACCCACAGAATACAGTTCAAGGTTCAAAATCAAGAAAGAAAACAAGTGTCAGTAACTGCTGCCTGCAATAGACAAACCGCAGCAGAAACTACACTGAGAGTAGAGCTGCCTTTTACATTCTAAAGTTTCCTAAAATATTAGTCTCTTAATAAGACTGACAAATCTGATGAATTTTCTAAGCGATATTATAGGAAAATAGTAAGTATGCAGGACATCCCCATTTCTCACTGCGTACTTCAAGTTACTGTAAAGTTCTGCGATAGTGCTGAGAAAATTTCAGGATACAAGTCAGGTTGGTGATATGTGTCTCTGTCAGGCACCACACTTACACATTTCAAAATGCAGTCGTCATCCTTATGTAGTTTCAATAAAGTGCAAAACAAGACCCACCTAACAAACACATAGCATAGCACAGACAATTTTGATCTTAAGGTTCAACAGTAAACATTATGAACTAAATAAACACTTCCATGCAGTGTTTCCATTCCAAATATCCAAATGCTGAGACACAAGATTTCAAAACAACTATGAGAAAATGTGAAATAAGGGCACAACTCCATTTGCTGGCTCACGGGAAACTCTCAATTACTTAAATGATTCTTTTGACATAATATATAAATATCCAAGCAGTAAGGACAGAAATAGTAAAGGGATTGTAAACACTGAGAAGTAAAATGGTTGTTACTGTAAGCAAGTTAAAATGAGTTTGAACTGAGAACCATACTGCAAGTAACTACTGAAAATAAACTTTAATATAGTCAATAAAATGTTTCAACTATGTTCTGAAAAAGCTCAATGTTAGAGCTTTTATCAGCTGCACAGTAATAGTAAGCAGAAAGTTACACAGAGCAAACTGAATTTTCAAGTAACAGTCATGCAGACAGAAGCTGGAATACCATGCCTTGTGCCACACAGCTATCATTCTCACTTGCACAAAACAGCCCTAGAAACTCTTCTATCTTATCAGAGGAAATTCTGTCAACTTTACTGATAGGAATTTCAAGAAATAGAATGTAAGAAACAGTGATCTGGTCCACTTAGGACATCATATTTCAATTCAGTCAGGTAGTAAAATGCTATTCTATAGAAATAAACATAGTAGAATAACAGTAAGAAAAAACTCAGAAATTCTTGAGACAGCAGCTGCAAGAACTAGAAATACTAAAGAGAAATGGCAGCCACCGAGGGAAAACCAACTGTGTTTCTCAGTTCCTTATAATGGTGTACAAGATTTGTATTCTTTGTGTTCAAGAACTCCAAGGAAGGACAACCCATCCCATTATGCAAAAATAAAAAGCAAGTAAGAAGATATATCACAGCCCTTTCAAAACACCACAAAACTTGGGCACATACCACTCACATTCTCTTTAAAAAAAAAAAAGGTCTCCACAGCATTTCAGGACTGTGTCTTTAAAATTAATGAAAGGCTAGTATCTAGAGCTTTACTAATGAACCCTACCTCCTCCTCCATATAATAATAATTTTTAAAAAAGCAAAAACAGTAGGAAAGAAACAGCAAAATGTAGGAGAATGTTAAATGCTATAGTCTCTCCTCAAGCAGTTTGAATCATAACCTGAAGTTAGGAAGACTGAAATTACAAATATAATTTGCTATGGAACAAACCATCAGCTAAGAGCTCCTACAAAAGCAATAACAATACTGAACAAACCTAACATTTACACGAAATTACCTGTACCTTGGGATATGGTAGAACACAAGGTACTTTGCCTCATGCTTCCAGGAATACAGTTTACCTAGATTATACATCATTTTTGAGCTGCATATGGCATACAATTCACACTGGTGCCACAGGCCTGTGATCTGAAGAATATCTGGACTGCTAGTGTTTTATCATTAATCCTTACAGTAGCAGTAATATGAAGAGGAGTTGCAACAAGACATGCCAAAGCATCATGTCTTCTCCAAATGCTCAAGTCCTGCCTGAGAACAATGCATGTGAATGAATAAACTGAACTTAACCCAGCCCACCGACTTCCTTTTTGTAACAATTTGCCATCCAGAACAGGGCTGTTCCAACAAGACTGCTACTACTGATGTGAGAAGGACTGCTGGCAGGCAGAAATTCTCTCCAAATTCAATTTACAAAATAGAAAAAACAAAAAAAGAAAACAGATAAAAAAAAAAAAAAAGATGCACAAGAGAAGTTACCTTTGGTTCAATTTGCTCTTCATTGAAGCAAACTTCAGGAGTTTGCCAACTACCCCATCCTTCGCATTGACCATATAGATAAGACAAAGGAAATAGAGCAGACAGAACACATGTAAGTAAATCCCTAGAAAACCAAAACGAATACACCTAATATGTGAACCATCAGGAACGCCACTGAACTCTCACAGATGAAAAAATACCCAATACTAAGACATCAAAAAATGAGGAACACCCACCACTTGTATAAGAAAAAAAATGCCAGCAAGTCCCAAAATACTTTGCCTTTTTTTGTGTTGAAAAAAACCACAAATCTATTCAATTGCTACTATTTGGTAACAAGATTATTATTAATGGAATATCCTATCTGTTGCAACCTAATGAAAACCACTAAAGAAAACTGTACATAAAGAAATGTGAAGATAAGCAAATAAGGCAGAAAAAGTCCTTTGAGAAGTCTTGATATGGTATTTGTAGTATTTCAACATCTAAATTTCTGATAGTTTATACAAGAAAACATGATCTAAACGCATTGGTTCCCCGTAGCTAGAGCGAGGCATGCTTCAAAAATAGTGTGGCAGAACATCTTTCTTTCCTAAATTTGACATTAAGGGGAACAGTAGCCACTCAGGAGAAGCCAGGAAACATGGACTCCCAGAGAGCAAGCTAGAATGTTTTCTGCCAGCTGATGAAGAACATCTTACCTTAGCAAAGAAGTAGTTTCCTGTGGCGAGGGAATTTGAACTCAGCAGGAATGATGATCTGAAAACTCCTGCCACGCATGCCCGCTTGAAGATACAGCGGCTTCTAATACAACAGCTGCAAACTACTCACACACGGGACATCTCTGGGTGCCTTTCGCATGTGTGTGGAGAGGTGGGCACCTGAAAAAGGCAGAAACAAAACCACAAATGCTAATTAATGAATTATTAGAGCAAGTTAATATTTTTGTAGTTCAAAGTTAACTATCACAACATAAAAGGTAATTTTTCTGAACTTTTCAGTCCTTAGGTGTCCAAGTCAAATACTGTCCAGCCCAGACCCAGCACCCATCAGTTTCTGACAGTAGAGCTTAAGTTTGGGATAAGCAGTGTAATATTCAGCTACTCACATATTTAGTGAAGTATTTTTAGTTCTGAAAAGACGTACCAGAGTCTTCACATTTTGCAGTTACAGATTTTTATGCCCACTGTTGCCAGTTTCTCCACTCAACCTTTGGAAACTATCCTTCCAACAAAATCAGTGTATTTTTAGCTCACCGTTATCTACACTCTTTAATTCATGAACTGCCAATTCACCTTTAAAGTTCAACAATTCACCTTCAAAAATGTTACCCATTCACCACTCAACTGCATAGAACTAAAGGAATAAGAGATTCTGAGGAACATCAGAGTGTTTATTATAGACAGGTGCTGGCCACTACCTTTTTGCCTTGCTGAAAGCCCTGTTTTTCTTTAAATAAGTTTTGCAGAAGAGCTGAAGGCAACAAACACTAGATTCAGCTGTTCTACAAAGCCTAAAAAAAAATGTTATTTTCCTTTCTCCATGCAGCATAAGCATTAAAAAATTATTTTTTAGGTACAGTTGTAAAATCTGCAACTATGCATAAAATTAAAAATAAACCCTTCCGTTAACACATGAATGTAATACATATTCATGACAGCGACTGCAGGAGCAGGGGGAAAGAGTGAATAAAAAGAAAAAATGCAGAATAGAAACACTAAGGAAAAAATTGAGGTCAGGCAACAAAGTTTGAACTTGTTTTGGTCAGGGTAGCGCTGTCCGGCTGCAGGAAGGCGCACGTAGCACTAACGCGGAGTGACTACAACAGGAGTTAAACAAGGAATTAAAATTAGAGAGACACCCATGTTTTCAAGCCTGGCCGGTACTTTAGAGGCTCGCAGCTCGCCGGGCCGGGAGGGGGTGCTGACGCGAGGGGCGGCGCCTGAGGGAAACGACTGGCACCACCGCAGCAGCAACAGCAACTCCCCCAGAACATCACCTCACACATGTACCTAGGAAAGAAAGCATAAACCGAAGACTGAGGTACAGCCGCTCCCGCCCAAGAGCCTCCCGGCAGAAGGTCGCCCGCCGTACCTCCTCCCCGCGCCGCGCCTGCCTCCAACGGCTGTAACGGCTCCGCTGCCCCCAAGCAAGATGGCTGCCGAGCGCGAGCTTCTTCTCCCCTATCCAAAATGGCCGCCGGCTGTAGCCGCCCACCCGCCCTACCTGCCCGAACCCAAAATGGCCGCCGGCGCAGCCGCACGCCGGGGACCCGGGCTCACCCCGCGAGAAAGGGCGAGCGCAACTCGCGGCCACGTGACGCGGGGCTTCGGCCAGGGGCGGGCGGAGGCGCGAGCCGCACTTCCGGCGCGCGGCGCCGCCGCTTCCTGCCGCTGGGGGCTTAAAGGGGCGGGGGCGCGGCCTGGGGCGCCGCGCGCTGAGGTGAGCCTGGGTGGGCAGCGCCTTTCTCGCCCCCTTCCCGCCTCCTCTTGTGCGGGGAGTCTCGGGTGGGCCGTTTTCCTTCCTCCGCCCGGTTCCCCCCCGCCTCACCGCTTTTTTTTTTTAGTAGCGTCTGCCCCGAGGGGAGCCGTTGTCCCTTCAGGCGTTCGCCCTGCGAGGGCGCTGGGACGCCGGGTGGGGGGTGTGTGTGGGGGGGGGATCGGCTGGGGACGTGTCGTGGCGTGACCGAGGGCGGTGGGGTTCCTGCAGTCCCCTCACGAGCAAAGCGCTGTGAGGCGGCGGAATCTCCACAGCGTGATGGCGGGGGCTTTGGTCGCACGCGTTAGCCCTGTCAGGGGGATGAAGCTGGGCGAGTGTAGGAACACTGAGTTGTACCTTTGTTTAAACCAACAAGTTATTTTGATATATAACCTGAGTATGCGTACCTTTTTTTTCTAATAGTAGGTACTCCTTAATGAAATCCTGTAAAAAGTAGACTTTTTACATGTTGTTCTTAAACAAGGATGGATTTGTTGCGTTTGTCCTGATACTGTTAATAGTCTCTGAAGATCAAGGGCTAAGGTAGTCAGGCGTGGCTGCTACTCTGAGCAATGTGCAGCAATGTCAGAACCGTTGCAGCTTGTTTGCTCTGCAAGTTAAAAGTTCTATACTCTGTTAGGAGCTCAGTCATTGAATTTTATTAACTATAGGAGGGGAAAGAGATGATGTATTTTTAAACGGCTTTGGTTTAGACTTCAAATATTTACCATCTGAAGCAGTAAAATGGTAATTAGCTAAACATAAACTAAGACAGCTTTAAGATTCAGCATGCCAAAGCTTGAAGCAAATGCAGCAATTAACATTTCAAGATGTCTGAATTGAGGTTATTTTTATAGCTTTTTTTTGAAGTTCACAAGTAAGATTTTCTTGTGTTATTTTGTGTTTTAATCATCTGCTGCACTGTAATTAAAGATATTAACATTCAGGTTCATCTGTTCTGTGCTGTTATTATAGAGTAAAAAAAAAAGGATTTCTAGAATATGTTTAAAATAATAAATTATCTTTACCTAGGTAGATGCCAGTTTGCAATGAATCTTAAAACCATCTGGAAGGACTACAAAGTTCTGATTGTTATGGGAACTAGCCTTGGGCTGGTGCACTGGGGCTGGTTTTACATCAAGTCCAGTCCTATTTTCCAAGTGAAGACAGAGGACTTTGTTCCAGAACCTGGGATTGTGACATATGTGATGCAAAGTGATCCCAAAAATAAAGAAAAATAGCATATGTGCTATGTATTTTGGGTAAGTTGCCTAATTAGTTGTATCGGTATCTTAGAGGCAGGAGATGAGTCAATAAAATTAGAATTTCCTAACAAATGCAGTCTTGCTGCTCTAACTTTAGTCTTCCAGAGTTCTATTATTTTTTGCAACTGAGATAATCTGGTAGTTACATGGATCCAAAAAATGCATCGTCGTAAAAACTACTGCTAAATCCCATGCGATAGGATCAATTAAGTGATGCTGTTATAAGTCTTAAAGATATTTAAAAGCAAACTGCAGTAACTTCAAGGCAACAGTCAGACCCTTGTGACCTACTACATGTTCAACAGTGTCATTTCAGGTTCAAAACGCCTCAGAAATAATTGACTTTACGTAGTAACATACTCTGGTGTTAGTAGAGATGGTAATTAGAATAGAACGCAAACAAAATTAAGTATGAGAGAAGTCTAAATACTATAGATATTACCTGGAAATGTAAATAAATATCCATTTAAGTTTTGAAATGTGTAAGAACTGAAGAAAAAAAAAAAGTGAATTCTTTGTTAGGCATCTTGAAGTAAGTAACCCTTCTTTCAGAGGCAGAGATTTCTTAAAGTTTTTTGAACATTAAAAGCTTTTGTTTCTAAAATGGTTGCCTGGCAAGCAGTGATCAGTAGTTCATTTCCTTTGTTCTTGAGTAAAAGCAGGTTAACACCACTGTAGTTTTGACACTAATGCAATTCAGTGCAGTTTATAGTGGCCTGTTACTTATAGACGTACAAGTAAAATGGTATATAAACTGTAGGTCAGAATTGAGGTTATTAACAAACATGTATGATTTGTGTACTATATGCTTGCGGTAGATATCGTATTATTAGGTTTTCTCAATTCAAAAAGCATTACAGCGTATATAGACCACTTGTATGAGGCTCAACAGTGCTGAGTGTTGAGTCCTGCACTTGGGTCACAACAGCCTCATGCAGCGCTACAGGCTTGGGAAGGGTGGCTGGGAAGCTGCTTGGTAGAAAAGGAACTGGGGATGTTGATCAACAGCAGACAGCGTGAGCTGGCAGGGTGCCCAGGTGGCCAAGAAGGCCAACAGCATCCAGGCTTGTATCAGCAACAGTGTGGCCAGCAGGACTAGGGAAGCGATCGTCCCCCTGTACTCGGCACTGGTGAGGCCGCACCTCGAGTAGTGTGTTCAGTTTTGTGCTCCTCACTACAGGAAAGACATTGAGGTGCTGGAGCGTGTCCAGAGAAGGTCAACGAAGCTCATGAAGGGTCTGGAGCACAAGTCTTGTGAGGGGTGGCTGAAGGGAGACATCCTCTCTCTCTACAACTACCCAAAATGAGGTTTTAGCGATGTGGGTGTTGGTCGTTTTTTCCCAAGTAACAAGCCATAGGACAAGAGGAAATGGCCTCAAGTTGCACCAGGGGAGATTTAGATTGGATATTGGGAAAAATAATCTTAACCCAAAGGGTTGTGAAGGACTCGAACAGGCTGCCCAGGGATGTGGTTGAGTCACCATCCCTGGAGGTATTTAAAAGATGTGTAGATGTGGTGCTTAGGGACGTGGAGGTTTATGGTTGGACTTGATCTTAAAGGTCATTTCCAACCTAAGTGATTCTGTGATTCAGTGTTTGTCCTTATGTGTGTTTTTTTTGTGAAAAATAAAATAGCAGTTCAAGCTATGAAATACTGTCATAAGATTATCCTAATACTTTTCTGTTTTTTTATTGTAGGTGTACCTATCTTTGAAGCTTTTCATCTGAGGGTGTTGCCAGAGGAAGAGATGAGGAAAGCTAGCTGGAGTAGAAAGAACTTTCTCCTTGTGGCAGGACTGTCACTTATAGGTGTCCATTTTGGAAGCATGCTTGTAAACTTTGTTGCAAAAAAATCTGTTCGATCACATTTGGAAGCTAAAAAAGATCAGCAGGAATGAAATGTCTTACTGCTGCCATTATGTATCGATTTCACAATAGCATTTAAGCCTCATTTTGAGAGAGATCATGAGCAGTCACTGGAGTGTTGTTATTGTACTGTATGTATTGTTTCACATTTAAAATAAGTCCTTAGTTACAAAGAACTTAAATGTACTACTTGAAATTTTAAAAGCGATATAAATTACAGGTCCAAGTAAAAATTAAATCTGTTTTGTTGGCCAGAATTAAAATCTTTGAAAATGTCTCGTCTTGAAGCTAAAAAGCCTCCATTGTTTATTAGCGAACCTTTAACTAAAGATACACTTAGTCAGTCACTGTCTCTGCTGAGTGAAATATTAAAATCTTGCTATGGTCCTGCTGGTAGACTCAAACAGCTCCACAATGGTGTGGGAGGCTATGTTTGTACAACTTCACAGTCTTCAGCTATTCTCGGTCGCCTTTCTGTCAGTCATCCTGTGTTAAGTGTTTTGACGGCCTCTGTACAGAATCATACATCCCGCTTCAGTGACTGTGGCTTGTTTACTGCCATTCTTTGCTGTAGTTTGATTGAGAACTTTAAAAGCTTAAACGTTGCCTCTTGCACTGTCATTAAAATAAGCAAGCATCTTCTGAGTTTGTGTTTGGACTACCTCAAATCTGAGGCCTGTGGTTGCCGAGTGTCTGTGGATTTTAGCAGTGTTGACACTCTCCTTTGTTTGGTACGTAGCGTATTAACAAGTAAACCTGCTTGCATGCTTAATAAACCAGAAGTTGATCATCTTGCCGTGCTGATTTTAAAGGCTTTTATGTTTACTGTTCCATGCCATGTTGAGACTGATGCTGTTTTAGGAAAGTGTATAATAGTACCTGTGAAAGGTAGAAGAGTTGCGGATTCTGCAGTTCTTCCTGGACTACTGATAGAAACACCAGAAATTCAATTGGCAAAACCACTTCCTCTCAAAAGAACCTGTTCAAACATGATCAAGATAGCGCTTTTCTGTGTGTCCATGTCAGGAGACTGCTTCAGCCCTGAAGAAGGAACTCTAGCAGTCCATCATGGAATTTCCCTAGAAAGGTCAGAGCTGAATCAGTTGCTTAATGTCGGAAAGCAGCTGGTTAATGATGAGGTCGGCCTTGTAGTGTGCCAGAAAGTTATCCATCCGTCCTTGAAACAGTATCTGAAAGAGAACCATGTCATTGCTGTGGACAGAGCTGGGCTCTCTCTGATGGAACCCCTGAGGCGGATGACAGGTAACAAGCGAGTTTTCTGTACTAAACAATTGTGCTTAATGTCCATCTGGTCATGAAAACCAATCTAGGTTGATGTCATTGCAGAGTAAGGATTCTCTTATTTCTGTCTGTATCCTACCTTAGCAGCTGAGCCAGAGTTTTTCTTGTCTCATCTGAAAACCATTTTTTAAGGCGAGATTGGCCTTTTGCAGGCTCTAATGATGACATAATGCACATATGATTACCGATTGCTGCATGAGGAATATCCAATTATATTTACTGTTTGCAAATGTAGCTTATTTTCAAACTCTAATGAGAATAAAGCCATTACTTTTTTATCTTAAACTATCACTAAGTCTTGCACTTTGAAAACATGTTGGTTTCTGTTTGTGATTTCCTGTGTAGATTAAAATGTTAGGTATTGAAGAATGTATATAACTTAAAGCTAAGAGGAAAAAAAAGTTCACGCTTTATGAAATGCAACAGATAGCTGTTCTGATGATGTGCTGTTCTCTGCTTTTCTTAATTGAACAGGTTCAGAGCCTATAGCTTCCATACATTTGTTGCCTCCTAGTTGTTATGGCAGTTTGAAGGATGTGTGTGTTGAGAGTTTTGCTTCAAAACATTTTGTGCATCTAATTCCTAGTGAAGCAGTTGTCTGCAGCTTGATACTCTGTAACAGAAATGAAACATCATGGGATGAATTGAAGGTAGGCAAATTTTCTTGAAATCTTTCTGGAAAAGTTACGTTTCTAGTGGAAAAACAAAGTCATGAGGCTATAGATACAGTGAGTTTAGAAAAGTGGTTTTCAGTACATAGATGGATTTTAGTTAGAGTGTAGATGCACAATTTCAAGAAAGCAATTCAGAAATGCCCTTGTTTCCAGAATTTAAAATCCTTGAAGTGCTCATGTTCATTTAGTGCCTCTATTTTAATATGAGAAGGAAGTTAGAGACAGAAGCATTTTTGCACCTGTTCTTGAGGCCAGTGCTGGATAAACATTTTCATTCTCATTACATGCTTTGAGAGCATAAAGAAAAAATTCCCCAGCAATAGGCCAGCATCAATACCTGCAGTGGTAGTCAAGCATAGTTTTGCATTGAACAGTTGCTCTAGAAATTATGTTGATACTGATTGACTTTTTATAGACAACCCTCTTTTGCAAAAAGAAAGAATAAAATACATCTTTTTTTATTTCTACTTTTCCATACTGAGTGTGGAAAAATAAAGACAATTTAAGTGAACGTGGTTTTGGAAATCGCTCAGCAGCTTTATATCCAGATGTAATTCAAGTTTATGAAGTCTGTACCAGAAACTACTGAAGATTTTACTCTGGTAGTTTTTACAGTGGGGGCAAATACTGTTAATCATAGTATGTCTAATGACAAATTCATATGGTTTTCAGCGTGCCTGTGAAACTGCAGAACATGTGTTACAGTTAACGATCAAGGAACCTTTGGCATTATTAGGAGGTGGCTGTACAGAAACTCACCTGGCTTCATACATAAGACACAAGGTATGTAAGACACAAGGTTTTCTAAAGCTGCTTAATATACTTAGGAAACAAGAATTTATGTAGAATCACTGCCACGGGTAAAACACTTGTCTAGATCAATGTTGCATTTTTGCGGTCTACTAATATAAAAAAAAGGGGCTTGTCTGAAGCACTCGGTGCTAATTGCATCCTTCGGACTTGTTAATACTGTATTTGTACTTGTTATTCTTTCTTTTAGGTATATATTATAGTAAGTGCTTGTTTTTAAGTGTTAAAAATGTGTAGAATTTTTGTATTGTAAGATAATTGCACAGAACTCAGCTTTGACTTGTCTGGAATTCGTTCTTACTGTGGAATAATCACATGAACAATTTTTTTAGTTAGGACTGTACCATCTGTTTAAAAAAAAAAAAACAACACTACAAAATACACTTGATTAAAATTATTTCTATAAACCAGCGTTCTAACTTTCTGTTTTCCTGGTTTTGTTTTTTAGAGTTGTAGTCTGTTCACCAGCAGTTTTAAGGATATAGATTGTTCTCAGACACAATACCAATTGGTTGCTGATGGGTTTTGCCGTTCCCTGGAGTCTGTAGCTTGCTGTCTGAATCATGATGGTGGAGAAATTCTTACAGACATGGTTTATGGACACTGTTGGTTTGTTCCATCAGGTTTTCCCTCTGTCTCTAATTGGTCAGATTTAGTTTCAAAATGTGGCTGTGGGATTAATGACAACACTGGGAATCTCAACTGGAAGCTTCTGCGAGGCCAGTTTGGCTCACCTGTTGCACAGGGCTGCCCTAAAGAGCCCTCAGGAAAGGTTGCTGACTTTCTGACATTGGACTGTTTTGCTGCGAAGTGTAGTGGCCTACAAGTGGCTCTGGAGACAGCCAATCTGATTTTGGATCTCTCGTATGTAATTGAAGATCAAAATTAACTCTGATCTTATGTGAACTGTGTTGCACAGCAAGATAGTTAATTGAAAGCAGAGTGTATAACGTGTTAAAATACTTTAAATGGTTAGAATATGAACAACAGACAAATTTTAAATCAAACGGTCATTAAGTATTCTTCTGATTGTTAATCTGCTGTGTCCTCAAGCATTTTCAAACATTTAACACTGTTAGGAACTGTTAAATGATTAGCCAAATATACAATGAATCATAGTAACATATGATTTATGAGTATTCAAAATAGCGTATTCAAGAGTGAATGACACTTTGATATTTCCTCTGCATTAAGCAAGGTTTTGGATGTTCGTAAGCTCTGTTGCATCGTCAGAGGAATGGGTAAAATGGATTCACTTGCTGAGAAAACATATGTTATGGATTAGAATTTATGCAATTTATTTAGTTTAGCAAATACCTTGAGCCACTCGTTTTCAAATTTTGTTCAAAGATATTGTCACCATATACTATATGCAGTTTCTGTTTCTAAATGGCCAGAAGATTTTAGTTCATCTATGTAGTTTATTTAGCAGGTTATTAAAAATCAACCTGCAGATCTTCAGTTAGCAGGTAGGTCATAAATAATTGAAAAGAAATGGCAGACTGTGTGGAAAAAACTTTTGTAAGGTGGACCTTGATTGTCCTCTGTGGAATACAGGACAGTTTATAAATAATATTTCTATCATTTCAGCAAAGTTGCAGGAAAGAAAGTCCCAGTTAACATTCAATTAACTCTTTGACTGTGCATAGCTTCTCTTCTTTTAATGAAGTAAGGCTTTAAGCTGCTCAGTCTTGTTTTGATCTTTAAATAAGGCTGTAGACTGAATGATCGAAACTTTTTCTCATTTTCAGCTTGCGTGCAAGATCAAAAGGGGTGTTACAGTTTCTTGCTTAAACTCATTTTCTTTTTCCCTTTTCTCCCTTTTTGTTTTCAGCCACAAGGGACAAATTGTTCATGACGTGCTTTTCCAGAAAACATCCGAGTTGTAGACTAGTCTCTTATTTGTTTCCTGGTCTCTTAAGTTTTTAATATATTTACTGAACATAAGAAGTAGAATTGTTTTGCATAACTTGGTTTTGAAATATGTAATTAAAGACAGATCTTTCCAGACCTTTTGTACAAAGTCCTTTTCATTTTAAGACCATAAATAATCATTTTCTCACTGGAAAAAGTGAAAAGTTATTTAAAGTTCTTTATCTTTTTATGACCTGAAATGATTGCTTCAGTGCTATAAGGCATCCTTTGGGAATTTGTGGAAGAATGTTACAAGGGTTGAGATGGAATATGTTCAAAGTTGGTTATTAAAAAGGCTACTTTCATATCTTGATCCTCCCATATAACATGAACCATATGAAAACATCAGGAATAATGAAGCCAAATGATGGTGTATATCTTAAGGCACAGAAGAATCTTGGTAACACTTCATCTAATTATGAGTCTCTAACTCAGTGTTGAATTAGAGTATTTTACTTCCTATAATAGCAGCTTGTTATGCAGCACAAAAATGTTGAGTTTAGTGATTACAGCTGTGAAGTGAAAATTAAAACAATATTTAAGTAGATGTGGTTGCTAGTGTTCTTTTGTCTTGGTATCTGAAGGTATCTGAAGCCCCTATTAAAAACTGTTGTTAGCTGTAATTCTATTCTCCACCCCCACCCCTCTCAAGTTTTAAGAAAAATCACACATTAGAAAATTGTGAAGAAATTAAATTTAATTTTTGGTGAGTAGGTAAAAAAACCTGAACCAAAGGTTGTTTCATATCTAGAAAGTTTTAATAACAATGAATTTTTGTTTCCCAGTGTGACTGAAAAGCATAAATAAGCAGCTGGCACTGCTGCTTATGGGCAGTTCAGGTTCAGTTCTCAGTTGTGCTACAGTCTTCCTGAAGTCTTAGTGGTTAGTGTGGGTATCATAGGAGGAATACAACTTTGGATACTGTTTAAAATGCAAGTAAACAGAATTTTGACTCTTAATCCAAGAGCAACATAATAACTTTGCTGAACTCCCATGCTTCCTGGTAAAACTTAGGTGCAAAAATGGTGGGTTCCCCCCAGTGTGTCTTGAAATTGGCAAAAGGAAATATCCCCAGTTTTAAGTCCTCTGAGAATCCATTATGGCTTTATTTCTGCTCCCCTTAGAATTAAAGTTTGTTCAGTGGGAAAAATTAGTATTACACAAGTACTATTAAGAGACAAGTGTTTTTTGATTATGACCTCAGTCATGTCTGTTGACAGATTGCTCAGAGGCTATTAATTTAAATTTTAATAACCCTACTGGTCGTGCACAAGAAGTAGGAACATTTATCTCCCGTTTTCTCAGCTGCATTGGTGCTCCAGGCCTAGCAGGAGAAAAAAAGTGCTGATGATACAATCACTCAGGTCAGCATATTTAAGTAGAATGCCAGTTTAATATAGTTGTTCCTCAGTTCAGTATTTCAGTTCTCATTTGGTATTTCAGGTCACGGTTGGTATTTAAAACTTCAAAGTGAAGAAGACCTGAAAATGCTGATTAATTTAGAGATCTTCAGTGTTTCTATTATCGTGTCCTATTTCAAGTAGGCATATTCTTAAATATTATTGTTTTGGCGTTGTCAAAGAAAACAGAATGCCTGCTTTTCACTGATTCTGCCACTGATTTGTGAATTTGTAGAGTCACTCCAGAAGTCTTTTTCTGTCTATTATCTATAAAATGGGAATAAAGATAACTCTTCTTAAGGCATGGAGATTTGTGGGTGAAGAGTTAAGTGAGATCCAGAGGGAAAGTGAAGAACTAATTGTTGCACAGGAGCAAAGAAATGGATAATTCAAGCCAAACTCAGATCCTTGCTAAAATATTAGTCATTTCATTAAGGGAACTTTGCACGGGATTTATGTAGATTCTATAAATTAGCCTGATGGTAAAACTCCTCTGTTCTCCCTTGTATACTGAACCTGGATGCATTTTCTTCTTCTCTGAAATTTTGGCAACAGCATAATTACTAACCTGATTTATTGCCTTACATCTTCAGTACACACCCACAGAGAAATGTGACCTTAAAGCCCTCTGCAGGAATGGTTGAACTTCAAGTTGAGCATTGTCAGACACCTCAGCAATCCCTACGCTATCATGTATGTCTTCAGAGTCTGTGCTCTGCATGTGTTTCAGACCAGATATTCGTATGTTGCCAATCCTTTAAGACAAGGTAGAAACAAACTCACGAGTTTGGGAAACTTAACTTTACTGTGTTGGTAGTATAACACTGATTTTTTTTTTTTTGGTCGGTTGGTTGGTTTTTTTGTTTTGTTTTCTTAAGTGTTTGGGCATTTTTAGACTAAACATCTGTTACAGTGTTAAATCTCCTGGTAAGGGAAGAGAGTATTGTTATCAAAGCTTGTAAGAAAAATACTGCCTGGAATATTGCAAGCACAGAAGAGCATGTACAAAACAATTCACTTTATCCCAAAACCAAACTGTTTGTTTTTACTTATGCTGTTATTTTGCTGTGCTAAGCAGCAAAATGTAGTATTTGTCACACTTTCAGCAGTGCCATGTGAACTGAGTCATGTAAGTACTACACCCTTTTATCTGAGAAAAACCAATATCCATGAGTCAGTCAATGTCATAGGAAGAACTTTAACTGGATTTGGATTTACTACTGTTCGGAAGATGCAGAAACACTCTGGTTTTATTGCAAAGAGACTGCCTCCAGCATGCTTATCCGTGCAGACAGTTTTTAGAATTCAGTTGCTAGTCATGTTACGATGCTTATTTCAAGAATTTTAGTAGCTTTTATCTAGTAATATGAGTTATTTCTACCTGCTTGTCAGCAGAGACAAGTTGCACAGTACTCATAACTTTCTCGTCAGTAACACAGTGATCTTAATTTCCCAGTTAAAAAATACCTTCATTTTTTGTCTATAAACATTGCACTGTGTAAATGTCATGCACAGTATATACAGATTTATTCTTTATACTAGAAGCAGAAGTGTAGTCACAGCATATGTACATAGAGCCACCATGTCATTAGTGCAGACACCGATAAAGTTAATTGCAGAATAGGTTCCAGGATTGGGCTGGGCCCTTTGTATCTTTAACTGTGCCGACTCCCATTATTCTTGACCTAGATTGACATTAAACATATATAAATGTATTGTAAACATATATCCTGTAGGATTCTATTCTCATACCTTACTGCAAACATCTTTATAAACTTGAACTTTCAATTCAGCTTGTACATGAAAACCTTCTATTCAAGCTTTCATCATGTGCCTTGAAGGCCACAGCTGCGTACTGTCTGGCTTCTGCAAACTGGTTACTGGTGTTTGCTATTTTCTGTCTTGACATCAGCTGTCTTCAGGTACATATCAAATACACATTAGATAGTAGCTGCTTATTATTATAACACTATTACATGTTGTCTGCTAAATGTCTGTGGCAGCATACCACAACATCAACAGCTATTCCTTATCAATAATTTTCTTTTTATAATCTATTAGGTCTTTTTACAAGTGTAGAAGCTAAATCACCTCTCTTTAATCTTCAAAAGCCATCACTAGTATCTTCTCCATTAAAGCTTATGATGTTGTTAGACTGATCTGTTACACCTGTGAGTATTAGGTAAAAGAAAAAAAAAGGAGGTTGGGGGGAAAAGTTAGTTCCCTAGACCGTACTGATGATTTGGAAAGACTGAGTTATCACTTGGGGGGGTGGGAGGGGGAGCTGTGCAGGATCCTCTCCTGATGGATGGTGTACTTGAGGGTGGCAACTCAGCAATTTTCAGGGAATTATAGAGACTGGGATAGGTAGTTCCAGTTCTTGAAAGGCTTTGTGACTAAGAGGCAGAAGTAAAATTATTGCATGATCAATTACGGCTCCTTGTTCATGTGCCAGCAGGCCCTAAGCTCTGGCTTAGGTTTGTCTTAGTTTCTGATACATTTGATTGGATTCTGAGTGCACTTTTGCAGGTGAACCTGTGGGTTGTCTGGGGCTGGCTGCTAGGTGCCTACCCAGCCGCTTGCTCGCTCCCTGCCACAACAGAGCAGAGGGAGAAAACAGTCTAAAAAACTTCCTGGGTCGAGATAAACCTCTTCCTCCTGTGTATCTCACACTTTGCCTCCTCATTCCTTGCTGATGAGTGGCATTTTGCCCTTTCTTATATCTGTTTATGTTGAGGGGCTGGGCTCTGTGGTGCAGCTCTCCCCACAGAGGCTGCCCAGCCCCTCCTGCTGATGCCTCACAAGTACCTCACAGAACACCATTTTGTGAGCACTCTTTGAATCATTGTTAGAGGATGTGGAAAAAATCGCAGATTTTAAAGAAACATGGTGGGGGGAAAGAGCCAAGGAAAGGCTCTAGAGATGTTAGCAAGGCCTAATCCTGGAGGAGATGCTGGGAAAAAGAGGTTTTGTTTGTGTGGCGAGTGTTTCAGGAGGAACACATGCCACTCCTGACAATCAACCAGCTGAAAGGGCTGATCTCAAGAAACAGGCAGGGGCAGAGGGAAACCCCAACTTCTGTTGGATGAGGATGGTGTAAAGGTGTGGTTGCTGATGGCTGTTATCTAGGGCAGGTGTGAGAGCAGGCCATGCTCCCCTAAGAGGCAGATCACTGGGACCTACCTGTGGAGAAATAAGGGTTCAAAGATGTGCTTAAGGACTGAGGAGCTTCCTGAAATGGGCACTTTCCAGGAAGGCTGAGATGGCTTCCCGCTATCTTTGAGAAGGAGAATGGCCCAAGAGCAGCTTTGTGTGGGGCTCCCTGGATACAGTTCAGATGGGAAGACCACCTATCTGTGCCCGTAAAAACCTCCTTAAGTACGGTCTGAGGGTGTGAGTGTGTATGTGATATACACAGAGGATCAACCCATAGCATCTCTTTCATCACATGAAAGTTGCAATCCACAAGATGACTCCAAAAAGTGAGTTTTTCTGTATTTATTTTGCATTGGCACAGTGTCTACTGAATGGCAAGGGTATGGCGTGGCTGTCTATCTCTGCTAGCCTTTTTTTTTCTCTTTTTTTGCTTTCCATTGCTGCTTTGTTAAGCATGCAAGCAAATATTTCTTGTGTAACTACCAATGGTAGGACAAATTATCTACTTGGCTTTACGTACCTTAACCCTGGCCTCCTGTTTTTCTTCTTTGTTGGGGTCAGCCAGCAGAGATGAGAAAAGGAAAATTAGATTTTTAATTTGTACCTGAGTTCTTTTTGGGTATTGAAAAATCACGATCCCAGAAAGTGTCTCCTGAAATTGTCTCTGCATCGCTTAAGTGCCATGTCATTCTGTGATCAGCATTGCACTGACTTCCATGCTTTGAGTTTGTCCCAGACGTCTTTGCTGAATCAGGTCTTGAAGTGTCCTGTGTTGATGCTTTACTTGTAAACATGAATTTGTCCATAAATTACACTTTTTCAGTGTTATGCACAGGCACTGAAGTGTTTGGTCTGGCCACTCAAATGTATTAATGTTCCCCAGCTGGGAACATTTCTAATTGAAAGTTGCTCTCAGCTGAAACATGATGAATCCGGCAGTAGCTAAGACAGTTGAAGATGTCCCTGCTGTCTCTTACCTTTTGAAATAAAC